GTCAAACGAAATAAGGAGGTGGGGTTGAAGGACGGTCCGAGGAAGAGACTCCCTCCCTCCCTCCCTCCCTCCCTCCTGCCTCCCTTCCTACCTTCTCCTCTCGCTCCTCCCTCCCCTTTCCCCCTCCACACCCCCCCCCTCCCCTTTCCCCCCTCCCCTCTCTGTCTCTACCTGTTCTGTTTAGCCATATTTCTCCTTCCTTATTTTATCTCTCTCTCTCTCTCTCTCTCTCTCTCTCTCTCTCTCTCTCTCTCTCTCTCTCTCATATAAACTCACATTAATAATCACACACACACACACACACACACACACACACACGGTAAGCATTCTTACTTGACTAATCGTAAACACAAATTAAGTTTCCTCATTTATAAACACAATAAATGACGGTGTTGTGTTTATATACGTGACGTCATCATTATCGTCATCATCATCAGCTGGTATATGTAAACAAGGTAGTTAAGTGTTGCCACCTATTGATTTATGGCTGAATTTCCAAGGTTTGTCGAGGTGCCAGTATAGCATTATCTTTTCCCGCGGTTTTAAGGTCGTCAGGGTCGTTCTTGAGAGATCATTATCACTGTGGTCGTTTGGGTTCGTTGGGGTCGTTAGTTGATGGGGTGACTTAGTTTTTTTTTATGTCATTCTGAGATGATAGCACAAGTGCAGTACATAAACAAAGACAGGCAATAATTACAGGTACTGGTAAGGACAGACACAAGTACAGGTATATAAGCAACTCTAAATCGACTTGTTGTTTACCATTGTTTGTATACCTGTAGTGTCTACTGCATGTACTGTGAACCAATGTAAACTAGTGTAAGGATTTTTGTCTATCTGTGTGTGTGTATTGTGTGTGTGTGTGTGTGTGTGTGTGAGTGTGTGTGTGTGTGTGTGTGTGTGTGCGTATTGTGTGTGTGTGTGTGTGTGTGTGTGTGTGTGTGTGTGCCAGTATCCTCACATGTTTCTGTCTTAACAATATGAAACGTTGGGCGAAATTCTCTGACACTCACAATACCTCAGTGGGAGTAACGCTTCCTGCCTGCCCTTACCCTCTGCCCTGCCCTGCCCTGCCCTTACCCTGCCCTGCCCTGCCCTGCCCTGCCCTGCCCTGCCTGCCCTGCTCTGCCCTGCTCTGCCCCTGCCCTGCCTGCCCTGCCCACCTGCTCTGCCCTACCTGCCCTGCCCACTGCCCTTACCCTGCTCTGCCTACCCTGCCTGCCCTGCCCTGCCCTGCCCTGCCTGCCCTGCCTGCCTGCCCTGCCCTGCTGCCCCTGCCTGCCCTGCCCTGCCCTTACCCTGCTCTGCCCTACCCTGCCCCTGCCTGCCCCTGCCTGCTCTGCCTACTCTGCCCCTACCCTGCCCTGCCCCTGCCCTGCCTTACCCCTGCTCTACCCTACCTGCCCTGCCCACCCCTGCCCTTACCTGCTCTGCCCTACCCTGCCTGCCCTGCCCTGCCCCTGCCCTGCCCTGCCCTGCCCTGCCCTTACCCTGCCCTGCCTGCCCTGCCCCTTGCCTGCTGCCCCTACCCTGCCCCTGCCCTGCCCTGCCCTGCTCTGCCCTGCTCTGCCTGCCCTGCCCTGCCCTGCCTGCCTGCCTGCCCCTGCCCCCTTACCCTGCTCTGCCCCTACCCTGCCCTGCCCTGCCCTGCCCTTACCTGCTCTGCCTACCTGCCCTGCCTGCCTGCTCTGCCCTGCTCTGCCCTGCCTGCCTGCCCTGCCCTTACCCTGCTCTGCCTACCCTGCCTGCCCTGCCCTTACCCTGCTGCCTACCCTGCCCTGCCTGCTCTGCCCTACCCTGCCCTGCCCTGCTCTGCCCTTACCCTGCTCTGCCCTACCCTGCCCTGCCCTGCTCTGCCCTACCCTGCCCTGCCTGCCTGCCCCTGCCCTGCTCTGCCCTGCCTGCCCTACCCTGCCCTGCCCTGCCCGCCTGCTCTGCCCTACCCTGCCCTGCCCTGCTCTGCCCTACCCTGCCCCTGCCCTACCCTGCCCTGCCCCTGCCTGCCCTGCCCTACCCTGCCTGCCCTGCCTGCCCTGCCTGCTCTGCCCTGCCCTGCCCTACCCTGCCTGCCTGCCCTTACCCTGCTGCCCTACCACTGCCTGCCCTTATGCTGCCCTGCCTGCCCTGCCTACCTGCCCTGCCCTGCCCCTGCCCTGCCCTGCCCTGCCCTACCCTGCCCTGCCCCTGCCCTTACCCTGCTCTGCCCCTACCCCTGCCCTGCCCTGCCCTGCTCTGCCCTGCCCTGCCCCTGCCCCTGCTCTGCCCCTGCTCTGCCCTGCCCTGCCTGCCCTGCCCTTACCCTGCTCTGCCCTACCTGCCTGCCCTGCCTTACCCTGCTCTGCCTACCTGCCCTGCCCTGCTCTGCCCTTACCCTGCTCTGCCCTACCCTGCCCTGCCCTGCCCTGCTCTGCCCTACCTGCCCTGCCCTGCCTGCCCTGCCCTGCTCTGCCCTGCCCTGCCCTGCCCTGCCCTGCTGCCCTTACCCTGCTCTGCCCCTACCTGCCCTGCCCTGCTCTGCCCTACCCTGCCCTGCCTACCCTGCCCTGCCCTGCCTGCCTGCCCTGCCCTGCCCTGCCCTTACCTGCTCTGCCCTACCCTGCCCTGCCCTGCTCTGCCCCTACCTGCCTGCCCTGCTCTGCCCCTACCTGCCCTGCCCTGCCTGCCCTGCCCTGCCCTGCCCTGCCCTGCCCTGCTCTGCCCCTGCCCTGCCCTGCCCTGCCCCTGCCTGCCTTACCTACTCTGCCCCTGCCCTGCCCTGCCCCTTACCTGCTCTGCCCTACCCCTGCCCCTGCCCTGCTCTGCCCCTACCCTGCCCTGCCTGCCCTGCCCTGCCCTGCTCTGCCCTGCTCTGCCTGCCCTGCCCTGCCCTGCCCTTACCCTGCTCTGCCCTACCCTGCCCTACCCTGCCCTTACCCTGCTCTGCCCTACCCTGCCCTGCCTGCTCTGCCCCTGCCCCTGCCCTGCCCTTACCCTGCTCTGCCCTACCACCTGCCCCTGCCCTGCTCTGCCCTGCTCTGCCCTACCCTGCCCTGCCCTGCCCTTACCCTGCTCTGCCTGCCCTTACCCTGCTCTGCCCTACCCTGCCCTGCTCTGCCTGCCCTGCCCTGCCTGCCTGCCCTGCCCTTACCCTGCTCTGCCTACCCTGCCTGCCTGCCCCTTACCTGCTCTGCCTGCCTGCCCTGCCCTGCCCTGCCTGCCCTTACCCTGCTCTGCCTGCCTGCCCCTGCCTGCCCTGCCCTGCCCTGCCCTGCCCTGCCTGCCCTGCCCTTACCCTGTCTGGACTCTACAATATTGAACTGTTCACAACGAATGTATTTATATATTATCTGGTGAAGTAAAATTTAAGTTATTGATCTAAATAGTTGTTTGTATGTATGTCTATGTACACACCTGTCCAGTAGTCTACACCTGTCAGTGGTCTACACCTGTCAGTGGTCTACACCTGTCAGTGGTCTACACCTGTCAGTGGTCTACACAAAGGAGTGAAGGGTCACTAGTCTCCCCTCTCACCACATAGGTTCTTGTTTGAGTCCGGGTCACATAACGGCAGAAGTTCCAAGTTGACTCACACCCACACACACACACAGCTGCCAGGGTTAGAATTGTTGTCCATGCCCCCTACCCTCCCTTACCCCCTCCTCCACCCACCCTACCCCTCCTTACCCCTCCTCCTCACTTCCCTACCCCTCCCCTTTCCCCCTCCTCCCTCACCCCTCCCCTTACCCCCTCCTCCCTCACCCCCTACCTGAGAGTCGTGGCTCACGTTTATTAACTACACAGTACACAACCGCTAGTTATGACCCAGGGAACACCTAGGAGACGCTCCCTTGCCAACCAACAACTACTGACGAAACGACAGGCAGTAATCCAAGCCACGTTAGGAACGGTCAAGTGTCACCATGAGGTCCCACAACACCACATGACAGCGAGCGAGTTACTGCAAATTTCTGTGAGAGTTACTGCGAGAGTTACTACGAGAGTTACTTTGAGTTACGACGAGAGTTACTGCGAGTTACTGCGAGTTACTACGACGATGCCACATAGTGTATGAATACCCTCGACATCACGGCAGGTCCCTCATGGCAACACCAGTGTACCTGTTGTTCCGCCTCAGCTCACCTGGGCCACGTAACCTCACACACAGAGATATAAAAAACTTTATATGTCCGCTTTATATCTTTATTTATTATTATTATTATTATTATTATTATTATTATTATTATTATTATTATTATTATTATTATTATTATTATTATTATTATTATTATATATTATTATTATTATTATTATTATTATTATTATTATTATTATTATTATTATATTATTATTATTATTATTATTATTATTATTATTATTATTATTATTATTATTATTATTATTATTATTATTATTATATATTATTATTATTATTATTATTATTATTATTATTATTATTATTATTATTATTATTATTATTATTGCCACTACTTTCTCTCTCTCTCTCTCTCTCTCTCTCTCTCTCTCTCTCTCTCCTCTGTATATTCATTTCTTCACCAACTTATGTTCTTTTATTTCATCATCTAAGAAAATTCTAGTCTAGTATTACCCAAAGGTGACGCAGAGGGCGACCATGTGCTGTTCACCCTACCTCCATCCCTCCTTCTCCCTCCATCCCTCCCTCTCCCTCCATCCCTCCCTCCATCCCTGCCCTCAGGACGCAAGAACATGACTGGCTCTGATTTCTTTTTTGTTTCTTTTTTTTTAATATTACGAAATTTCTCTTAAACTTGACCCCGCCAACACGAACCAACGACGATCAATCACATCAAATTCTACCAAAAAAGTATCCCTATAACCCCTCTACGATACGACACTTTTCTCAACCTGTACGATCACCTGTAAACAAATATCGATGAAAACAAATGAAAGTCAAGACGAACGGTATACATGAAGGTGTACGATGAACTGAAGCTCTGAGGTGAAGAAAAAATGTTCCAGGTGGAGTATATAAGACGTAGAGGGCGTGTGTGGTGGTCAGTCTGGTGGTGGAGAGAGCCCTGTTGACATCTGGAAGTGAAGAAAGAGTGACGATGGTACCTCTACGTCTCGTACTACTGTTGGTAGCGGTGGGTCTGCCTACCTCGCTGGCTACGGGAGGTAAGTAAATCATCTTCTTGTTTGTGTAGTCCTTTCTCTCTCTCTCTCTCTCTCTCTCTCTCTCTCTCTCTCTCTGAACCACCTAACACGTCCCACTAACCAAGACCACCTCCTAACCTAACCTAACCTAGATAATTTAACCATCTCGTGAAATTAAACTGAAATACCTACCTGTATATATCTTAAGGTATAATAATATGTAATCCAGGTCGCAACACCACTGTAACACCTCTGGGACCTTCATTAACACAGGTTGCAGGTCGCCCTTCCTGCCTTACCTCAATCAGTACTGTCTCCACACCGTCATCTTCTACAAACTGGACGGTACCGGCAAGCCCTTGAAGTGGTCTGAGGCCCAACACCACTGTAAGACACTTGGGGGTTCCTTAGCTATCCTGGATCGCCCTGAGAAGCTGGAATATGTCTCGGGTTTGTTGGACTCCTCACATCCAGGTATATGTTTCTTGTTGTTATTGGTATTAGAGTAGTAGTAGTAATAGTAATTGTTGTAGTAGTAGTAGTAGTAGCAGTACTAATAGTCAGAGTAATAATATAAGCTCCTCCTTACAGCCGAGACCAAAGCCGGTTACATCTATTGGCTGGGAGGGGTCCGGCATGGGACTTCCAGCGCCTGGAAGTGGGGTGACAACACCGTCATCAGCCTCACATCAAACCTGTGAGTAGCTGTGGGAGTGTGTGGGGAACTGTATGAGTGTGTGGGGGGACTGTGGGGTTTGTGGGGAACTGTATGAGTGTGTGGGGGGACTGTGGGAGGTGTGTGTGGGGGACTGTGGGAGTGTGTGGGGGACTGTGGGAGTGTGTGGGGGACTGTGGGAGTATTAATCTTACGAATCAATGTTAATTCTACCACACTTTTTTTTTAACATTCTCTCTCCCTCACAGGTGGTCTCCAAGCAACCCATCCAAGACCCCAGGCACTCGTTACGTGATGTTAGTTCCTGTCGATCAGGTCCACGGTCGTCGTTTCCTGGTGGATTACTCTGAGGATCAAACAGCTCCTGCCTTCATCTGTGAGAGTAAACTTACCTGAAGGATCCCTGTGTAGCCCCTGGAGGACGACTAGGAGTTTCTGGTAGCCTAATGGGGGAGACGGGGTGTTAATGGAAGAATACCTAGGGATTACCTGTGGATTTTTTGATACCTGGGATGTACTTTTGGGGTATGAAGGAGAAGTAAACACACACACGAGACATAAACACACACACGAGACATAAACACACACACGAGACATAAACACACACGAGACATATACACACACACACGACAGACAAACAGACACTGAAACACATATTATTCAGCTTACCTTTTGTTATTGTTATTCTAGGAGGTAATTAATATTGCTGTTATGGTTACAATATGTCTAACGTGTTATGTTATGATGAAATAAAAATGCCATATAACCATCGTCTTATTGTTTTGGTTGCTACCTCATATGAATTTGTCTTTGTTCAACGATATCTATGGAGGTTTTCAATCACAATTTATACAAACATTTGGGAAATTTTTAGAATGTATATGAGAAAATCTGGTGAATATAACGCCTCATAAGTTTATATAATATACACAGTTCTATGTATATGTAGGATGCATATGGTCAAACTTTCTGAATAAACTAATATAAATTTCCTCTAATTATTAATAAAATTTTTGGCATTGCACTAGACAGCTTTTATTTTCTCAACTGTAGGGTCAGGTGTAACGGACCTATGACAACACCTTAAGATTACATGTCATGGGGTGATTGACCTTTGACCTTGCCAGTGATTAAATAGAGCATTAATATAGAGGTAATAAAGGGTATTTATAAAGGTACTGAATGAATGAAATCAGGTGTTTTAGTTAATTAGTTGCCATGGTGATCTCTCTGGGGTGAGCTTGATAGAGAGAATAAAGCAGTGTCTCTTCTGTATCTCTCATAGGTGGGAGAAATAATCTTGTAAGTCTCTCTCTCTCTCTCTCTCTCTCTCTCTCTCTCTCTCTCTCTCTCTCTCTCTCTCTCTCCTCTCTCTCTCTCTTCTGTATATTCATTTATTCACTTACTTATGTTCTTTTATTTCATCATCTAAGAAAATTCGGATCACCTGAAGAATCATCGCCCCAGCTTATTTTACCTAAAGATTAAACCACCCTAAAACTATTTTGGGAGGAGGAGGTTAGGTTAGGATATGTTAGGTTGGGTTTAGGTTGGGATAGAATAGGTTTAGGTTAGGTTAAGTTAGCAGTAAGGTAGTTAATCTTCAGGTGAAATAAGCTGGGGCGATGATTCTTCAGGTGATCCGAAAATTCTAGTCTGGTATTACCCAATGGTGACACAGAGGACGACCATGTGCTGTCCTCCCTCCCTCCGTCCCTCCCTCTATCCCTTCCTCTCCCTCTATCAGCCTCCACAAGGAAATCGCTCTGATTTTTTTTTCTTTTTCTTTTTTTTAATATTACGAAAGTTTCTCTTAAACTTGACCCCGCCAACACGAACCAACGACGATCAATCACATCAAATTCTACCAAAGAAAGTATCCCTATAACCCCTCTACGATACGACACTTTTCTCAACCTGTACGATCACCTGTAAACAAATATCGATGAAAACAAATGAAAGTCAAGACGAACGGTATACATGAAGGTGTACGATGAACTGAAGCTCCTCTCCCTCTATCCCTCCCTCTCCCTCTATCCCTCCCTCTCCCTCCATCCCTGCCTCCACAAGAACATGAAATCGCTCTGATCTTTTTTCTTCCCTTTACGAAAGTTTCTCTTAAACTTGACCCCGCCAACACGAACCAACGACGATCAATCACATCAAATTCTACCAAAGAAAGTATCCCTATAACCCCTCTACGATACGACACTTTTCTCAACCTGTACGATCACCTGTAAACAAATATCGATGAAAACAAATGAAAGTCAAGACGAACGGTATACATGAAGGTGTACGATGAACTGAAGCTCTGAGGTGAAGAAAAATGTTCCAGGTGGAGTATATAAGACGTAGAGGGCGTGTGTGGTGGTCAGTGTGGTGGTGGAGAGAGCCCTGTTGACATCTGGAAGTGAAGAAAGAGTGACGATGGTACCTCTACGTCTCGTACTACTGTTGGTAGCGGTGGGTCTGCCTACCTCGCTGGCTACGGGAGGTAAGTAAATCATCTTCTTGTTTGTGTAGTCCTTTCTCTCTCTCTCTCTCTCTCTCTCTCTCTCTCTCTCTCTCTCTCTCTCTCTCTCTCTCTCTCTCTCTCTCTCTCTCTCTGAACCACCTAACACGTCCCACTAACCAAGACCACCTCCTAACCTAACCTAACCTAGATAATTTAACCATCTCGTGAAATTATACTGAAATACCTACCTGTATATATCTTAAGGTACAATAATATGTAATCCAGGTCGCAACACCACTGTATCACCTCTGGGACCTTCATTAACACAGGTTGCAGGTCGCCCTTCGTGCCTTACCTCAATCGGTACTGTCTCCACATCGTCATCTCCTACAAACTGGACGGTACCGGCAAGATCGTGGACTGGTCTGAGGCCCAACACGACTGTAAGACACTTGGGGGTTCCTTAGCTATCCTGGATCGCCCTGAGAAGCTGGAATATGTCTCGGGTTTGTTGGACTCCTCACATCCAGGTATATGTTTCATGTTGTTATTGGTATTAGAGTAGTAGTAGTAATAGTAATTGTTGTAGTAGTAGTAGTAGCATCATAAGTACTAATAGTCAGAGTAATAATATATGCTCCTCCTTACAGCCGAGACCAAAGCCGATTACATCTATTGGCTGGGAGGGGCCCGGCTTGGGACTTCCAGCGTTTGGAAGTGGGGTGACAACACCGTCATCAGCCCCAAATCAAACCTGTGAGTAGCTGTGGGAGTGTGTGGGGGGACTGTGGGAGTGTGTGGGGACTGTGGGAGTGTGTGAGGACTGTGAGAGTGTGTGGGGAACTGTATGAGTGTGTGGGGGACTGTGGGAGTATTATTCTTACGAATCAATGTTAATTCTACCACACTTTTTTTTTAACATTCTCTCTCCCTCACAGGTGGTCTCCAAGCTATCCATCCAAGACCCCAGGCACTCGTTACGTGATGTTTGTTCCTGTCGATGAAATCCACGGTCGTCGTTACCTGTTGGATTACCCTGAGCATTCAACAGCTCCTGCCTTCATCTGTGAGAGTAAACTTACCTGAAGGATCCCTGTGTAGCCCCTGGAGGACGACTAGGAGTTTCTGGTAGCCTAATGGGGGAGACGGGTGTTAATGGAAGAATACCTAGGGATTACCTGTGGATTTTTTGATACCTGGGATGTACTTTTGGGGTATGAAGGAGAAGTAAACACACACACGAGACATAAACACACACACGAGACATAAACACACACACGAGACATAAACACACACGAGACATATACACACACACACGACAGACAAACAGACACTGAAACACATATTATTCAGCTTACCTTTTGTTATTGTTATTCTAGGAGGTAATTAATATTGCTGTTATGGTTACAATATGTCTAACGTGTTATGTTATGATGAAATAAAAATGCCATATAACCATCGTCTTATTGTTTTGGTTGCTACCTCATATGAATTTGTCTTTGTTCATCGATATCTATGGAGGTTTTCAATCACAATTTATACAAACATTCGGGAAATTTTTAGAATGTATATGAGAAAATCTGGTGAATATAACGCCTCATAAGTTTATATAATATACACAGTTCTATGTATATGTAGGATGCATATGGTCAAACTTTCTGAATAAACTAATATAAATTTCCTCTAATTATTAATAAAATTTTTGGCCTCCCTATCTGAGAGGATAGCTCTCCTTAATACCATGTTTTGTGTCAAAGTTTTGAAGAACAATGGTCCCCAAACTACAGCTCAAACTGAGTTGATGTTCTATCTAAGTAATTCCGACCATTCGCTAACCTTCCACAAAAGACTCTCTTTGGGGCGTGGCTTCATAAAAGTGTTGCAGATCTCTTGAAACTGAATGTCCCAATCACCCCAGACGAACCTATTAATGCCATTCCTCCTTGGCTGGATATATCAGTTCCTATTAATTACTCTCCTGTTGGTAGTAAGCAAATGTTAAACACCGATGTGGTGAGATGTGTCACACTAGAAACTATTAACAGACACATAGAGTATTAAATCAAGTGAATGTTATGCTTTTACTGACGGTTCTGTGCAGACAAACACAGGTAGAACAGGCTGTGCAATTGTAATATAAAAAAAAAAAGAGATGATAGTGTCAAACAAACAAAGGCTGAACAACTGGGCCAGCACAACACAAACTGAACTAACTGGAATCTACTTAGCCACAGACTACCTTAAAGAAAATGGAGGTGGGGTGATATTCTGTGATTCTCAAAGTGCTTTGAAATCATTGAACATCCCGTCAGGCTCTATGTCTAAAGTTGTATGTGATATCAAACGAAATGTGATAACTGCCAATGAGAACAACTGTCGTATCGAATTTTTGTGGATTCCGTCCCATGTTGGAATTGTATCATGACCATGCTGATAGACTGGCTGATGAGACATGTAAGAAAGAAAATGTTGACAGTGACCTTGGCCTGTCCAATGCTGTACTTAAAAACATTCAAGTCAGAATCATGAACTCTGATCTAGAAGAACTGAGAAATGCAGAGAGACCTGGCAGTTGTAGCATTAATAAATATGACAAATTTTATGACGAGAGGTACCGGTATGGCCAGCACAAGGACAGAACCAGACAATGTGATGTAGTCGTGGCCAGAATTAGGCTAGGATACAGACACATCTGGCAAGTTTGTAACGCTGTACCCATACCGGAACACTCAGCATGTAAACTTTGTGATAAACCTTTAAACCATACACTTGAACACTATATTATTGAATGTGACACTGTCAAAGACTTCAGGCCACCTGGCTTATTGTATCATGAACTTTGTAATCACTATATTGAATCAGGTGTGCTTGGGGACATTCTTGCTGTTTAACCCAAATTTGCTAGCCCACACTGATTAGTCTTCAATTAGAATATGACGTCCAATGTATATGAACCACTGTCCTGCATGGCAGCGAACAGTGACATCACCCACATGACTCTAACATATATATACTACTAATGAATATGATGCATTTCTTTGTGTACGAACCTCTGTCCTGCATGGCAGTGAACAGTGACATTACCCACATGACTCTAACATATATATACTACTAATGAATATGATGCATTTTCTTTGTGTACGAACCTCTGTCCTGCATGGCAGTAAACAGAGAGAGAGAGAGAGAGAGAGAGAGAGAGAGAGAGAGAGAGAGAGAGAGAGAGCTGTTAATGAATATGATGTATTTCTTTGTGTATGAACCTCTGTCCTGCGTGGCAGTGAGAAGTGATACCAGTGTCAAGACCTGACTGAATTAC